GAGAAATCCATAAACCCTGAAAACTTGGGATCCCCTCTTGGTCTGAAGTTGAGTTCTTCAAAAACTCCTGTGGTGTCACGTTTGGAGGAGATCCTGTTGTGTGGCTCCATGGACTGGGGCTTGGGCCCAACCAGTGACTTGAGTTGTGTTTGGGGGCCTGGGATGAACCTTCTTCCCTCTCCCCCAAACAGAACCCAAATCGGACACTAAATATGCAGCGAGTCGATTAGTTGTGTTCCTTACCATGTATTAGGCCTGCCATGAAATCTGTATTGTTCCTTTATTGGGGTGGGTGAACCGTTGCTCTTCTCTCAAACCAGCCTGGATCTTATTCCAGACTACCAAGTTGTTTCTTCCTAGGGCCAAACTCCTCTTTATTGCTGGGGGGTGGGAACTGCCTATGATTCCAAGTGTTGTACAAGGCTCCTTTATCCTGAGGGGTGGAGGGACAAAGTGGGGTCCAAGGGAGGGATGGCAGACGGTAGCTGGACTGACTCAAGTCTTGCCTCTGTAGTTATTTTAGCAGTGAGCTGATTCTGTAGGTAGACAGAAGACTCGAGAAGTGATGAAGATTGATAGTTTAGCTGTTCTGCTTGTGGTGGAGGTTTAGGAGACCACGCTTTGGCTGCTCTTAATACCTGGATTCTCACTTTTCCCTACTCTTGTTCCCAAGAGGAGAGACCCAAGGAGGTAGCTATGGCATCAGGGGTTCCCTCTGGCTCAGGATGAGATAGTGGGGGTCCTGGAAGAGACACCCTCCCCGTTCCTCTGCCTGCTTGCTGTTCCAGTGCCCTCTTCTCTTGCTAGCCCTGTGGCTTGTCCACTGGAGCCAGAGCTCAGCATTGCTCCTCAGCTTTGTCACATCTAGAAGGTGAATTCGGCTGGGCACGTATACCTGCTGCAGACATAACAGGTTTCAAATCAAACCCAGCTGGTTTGCAAGAGTGAGAAGAGGGTTTGAGTCCTCTAGCAATGTTGTAGAAACACCAGGCTGGGTAGGGATATGTCCTTCAAAGTTTCACTGCCGGACAACTGCCTCTTGGCTAACGCTGCAAACATATCAGAAACCCAACGGGCTGCTTTTTTTTCTTTTTTTTTCCCCCCTCTTTTTAATTCCTATGCAGACAATACTTGAAACCTTGTACACAGTTGTCCTTTCCAGCGCCTGGGGTTGGCAAACTCGTAATAAAAGGGCTCATTTAAAGAACAGCAGGAGGCTTCAGCTTTAGAAGAGGCTGGTTGGCTAACGCTGCAAACATATCAGAAACCCAACGGGCTGCTTTTTTTTCTTTTTTTTTCCCCCCTCTTTTTAATTCCTATGCAGACAATACTTGAAACCTTGTACACAGTTGTCCTTTCCAGCGCCTGGGGTTGGCAAACTCGTAATAAAAGGGCTCATTTAAAGAACAGCAGGAGGCTTCAGCTTTAGAAGAGGCTGGGCTGCCCCTTCCCAGCCGACAACTGCAAGCGTGTTCAGTGGTTTGCATATGAATTTAGGCACATCTGGACCCTCTGCTTCAACATCCCGCTGGTACAGCCACTGTCTCCCCTCGGTGCTGGCTGGCTGACTCTGTGTCCCGAGCACCCAACTATGCAAAGAATGCCTTATATTCATTGTGTTTAAGTTACATGGCAATACGTACATCAAGCAAAGTCTATAGTTGAGTCCAGATTTTTGCTAGTGGCAGCGAGTCAAACTATTTCTTCAACTCAAATGGTTGTCTGGGTATTTTTTACTTTTGTTTGTTTTGTTTGTTTGTTTTGTATCTGATGGTGGCTCTTATACAAAGGACTGTAATTCTAGTGGCTTGAATCTGTAAAAATTGCCTTTGTTTGGTCCAATAAACCTTTGAATAGTTTATTTCGTTTGTGCTTGTTCTCCCTGCCTCCAGCAGCTTGTAACTTCTTTCTCAAGAGATTTGTGTTGAAAATCTGGATTTTAGGTTAGAGGTACATTCTGCTCTCCTATGCCTTTTACCCCATAAACGATTCCACTGGCTTCCTTAACGATAGAGTCAGACCAGTGGGCAAAGTCAGGGATTTTCCCTTATTTCTGCTGGAGCGATGCAGTCTTACAGCAGGATCCTGGTCTTGTTTGGCTGCAGAGCAATTAGCAGCATTCCCAACGCAGAGCTCTGCCCAGGATTTCAGCTGCTGTGAACGTGAGTCCCTAGCAGTTCCCAAAACGGAGATCTCCTTTAACATACCTATGGCTCGCTGCCCCAAACCTCCAGTTAATTGTAAAAGTCTTGGACTGAAATGTCTAAAAAGAGCCTGAGGGAGTTAAGTATGCAAATTCAATTGCCTATCAAAAAGAATTAGGCTGCTTTGAAAATCCTTAATTAGTCTATTTTGTCAGCAATAAGTAAAATCCTGTTTGACCTCCTGAATCCAAGTAGTTTTGAGGACAGCACTTATGGGAAGAGAGAATGATTTTACTTGCCAATGGAGTAGGTTTGACCTGAAATCATAAAAAGAAACCCAAACAACAACCGGAGCACTACAAAGTTGTTTGCAAGGTCAGCTTTGATAGGAGAAGCTCCTTTTTGAAATCAGTTTCGTGTTTTTGATGCCTTACTCTTCCCTCTCAGGCTCTTTTCTCTCTTTATCTTTGTTTTGCTCTCCCTTGGTTGTAGATTATGTAGCGCAGAGAAGTAACAGCAATAACAGCTCTTTTTTATTTCTTTTTCAAACGCACAGTCATGATATTTAAAGTTGAGGGGACATCCAAAATGCATTGATATTGTGCTTAAAAAAATAGAGTGAATATTGTCTGTGTTCTTGATTTTGGAGGTGTGGAGACAAGGAAACGGGCCTTTGGGGAGGTTTCAGCAGGGTTAATGTTTGTGAAATGATTACGAGGGATGCAGACCTGTGTGGAGCGCTCCCAGCTGGCATGCATTTCAGACATGTGAGGCAAAGCTGCATATTGAATTTCTCCACACCAGACTGGAAATGTGCTCTCTGGTGCCCAGCGGTGATCTAAAATAAAATATTGATCACTGACGACCGTGCTTCCCTTCCTCTCGCCTGGAAAGGGCAGTTGGATGCTATTCACGTGAGCACGAAAAATTACAGAAGTGACAGGCAAATGCAGGCACTTGACAGCCTATGGGCAGAGCTTTCGTAACCAAAAGATCCTACATCATTGTGAGGATATGTTTGGCCTTAGGACAACTGCGTTTTAATTGCAACAGAAAAGAGTTGGCAAATGAGCTTTCTTTTGCCAGGATCTGCTTTTTTCCTGCCCTGCCTGCTGCAATGGTACTGGGAGGACAGCCTGCTGTTCCTGCTTCTGCTGGGGCGCAGTCCAGGAGAGGGGAAAATGCAGACCCTCACTTGGCAGGAGCTCAGCGCACGAAGGCTCCTCTGCTCATTCCTGACTGTCTCCTTCCATTGATCTTGTTTGTGGTGGGGTTGCTTCTGATGTGTTGATGCTGTCCTCCCTTCTTTCAAGCAAAGATTGTGTCCTGGTTTTGCCTGTCAATAGGTATTTCTACCCCTCCTGTTACTGGAACAGCTGTTAGCTTGTCCACACGGGAGATGCAGGAAGACTATCCCAGGTTAACTATGGGTGTGCATTTAAATGGATTAATTACAGTGTACTAAAGTCCTATGCAGAAAGCCGGCTGTGATGGGAACAGAGAACTCTTGACAGGGTGACCATGTGGAAGTAAAAGCCAGGGTCTGTCTTTCTAGCCCACAGGAGGTCTAAAGATGCTAAACAAGCAGGAGGAGCTGGGATTGCAGCAGATCTGTGCTCTGAGCTGCTGAGCTATCGCTGAATTCTGGCCCCACAGTCATGTAGGGGCAAAATAAGCCTCGAAGTAATAGAAACTGCTTCTCCCTTGTTACAGCCATAGAGCCCCACAACCTCATTAGTTCTTTTAATCTCACACAGGAGTCAGGTGTGAGGTGTGCTAGGCAATACTGCAATCTGATCCCAATCAGGTAGGAGTCCGGCGGTAAGAACATGCCAGCCCACAGCCAGCCCTGACCGGAGCCAAGGTGCACATTCATTTCACCCTAAAAGAGGATTTCGCAGACAGTTGCATCAGTTCATGAGCTATTTGTGAATAAATGACACTCCTGTGCTGCCCACTCTTCTGTACCCCTGAGTGATGATCAGTAGATGTATGACCAATATAAGCCCTCCTATAAAGCTTCCTAAAATAAAGCCCTGTGAGAGACGCAAATCTTTGTGCTGCAGGACACACAACAATGGTTAACTGCTTCAGGTTAGGGAACAATCAGGATATAATCTGTTATGGGGAGAAGGGAGTTAATCATCTACTATGGGACTTTCTAGGGATGGAAATCTGAGCTAGATGGTCCACTGGTCAGTCTCTGCCCACACAGGGATCACCTCATTGCTGGACTGGCTACATGAGTCCATCTCACCGTTTGACACTGGCAGATGAATGTTTGAATCAAAGCAAATTTCTATCTGTGATCTTATCTTCCAGTGGCTGATTAAAGTCATGTCCACACTGGAAGGCAGTCTGGTCTCTAGTTTTAAGGTAGGGTGTGCATTTAAAGTTTAACAGCTATCCCTGAATTACTCTGTATCTACATACTCTCATTACAGGATGAAAGGACACTGCACTGATGATGCTTAATCCAGTTTCATTATGGAGTCTGCTAAACTGGGACATGTTGGTTTTATGAAATTCCACACGTCAAGTTATCTTGAAACTTTGAGCATAGATAAGCCCTAAGGAACTCCAAAGCTAGTGTTAAAGCAGCCTGTTTTATCTCCATATTTAAAAAACAGCAGAGGCGCATGCAGGATGATTGGATAGATGGATGATTGAATAGAAGGTGGAGGAAGGAGAACTAGAGGCTCTCTCTTTCTTATCTCACATAGGCAGATTTCCTGCAGCCAGTAAGGCTTGCAAAATGACCTGCGTTTGGCTTCGTGTTTCATTTGACCATGGTGTTCTTGCTCAAAGTGCCTTCTGGGGACTGGCTATTCCTACTTCTCCTTTTCTTCTTGACAGGGTTCAGAGAGAGCAGCTGGCTGCCATCTTCAGGCTCATGAAGGAAAAAAGTGACACATTTGGAGAGATGTCTGAAGGGGACATGAAGGAGCAGCTTAGACTGTATGATATATAACCTTGCAGCCAGTGGAGACTATGCCCAAAAGTCATCTTGGCCCTTATTATGCAGGATGCTGGAGGCTGTAGTGCTATAAACGTGTTTCAGTAGTTATTTTGCAGTTCCATTTGTTTTGCAAATGCATATAGGCCTGTGATACGTATTTCAAAAGACTTGTCATTTCTCACCTTTTTTATCATTTTTTCCTTGAAAAGCTATCATGATATTTTCATCTTGTACAGAGATTTTTACCTCTTTCTGGCTGGGTCATATGTCTCAGTCATAGAAAGCAGTTAAACTTGCAACTTTTTTCTGGCCATGCTTTATAAAAATGGACTTTCAAACTTAGTCTTTATCAGTTTGATGTCTGATGAAAGCCAAAGATAATAGATACTAAATGGATAAAAATAACAGAATCGTAGAATAATTCAGGTTGGAAGGGACCTAAGGAGGTCTGTAGTCCAACCTCCTGCTCATAGCAGCATCAGCTATGAGACCAAGCCAGGTTACTCAGGGCTTTATCCTGCTGGGTCTTGAAAACCTCCAAAGATGGAGATTGCACAACCTCTCTTGGCAGAGAGGCTTCCAATCCTACAGTTAGAAAACAAATAGCCAAAGGCAAGGCATTAGTGCTCCGATTAGAGGCGAGTTGCCGTTCTCATCTGCTTGGAAGGAACGCTTCATCCTCCTTCATGCTGGCTTTTTGAAACAAATCCAAGTCGGTTCCGGCTGACCTCGTTGAGCTCATCTTCACGCCTGAGAAAACAGCAGCTAACATCAACCTGGAAACACAAACATCTCTTCACCTCTTGACATTGGTAAAAGTAGTACAGAAAGGTGGCTGGCTTTCTTACAAAGATGATTGTGTCCAACTCAGATCCTGTTCTCCTAATATAAAAATGATGTGGGAAACCACATATGTACAAAATCTCTGTGAATTTATCGAGTGTTTTGAACAGTCTTGACCAACACTTGGTGGTTTGGATAGAGTAAATCAACGAGCATTCCTAATTTTAACTGAATGTCTTCTGGTGTACTTACCTCTCCTATGAAATTCTGTTAAATAATTAATTATTAGGAAGGATTTTCACAGTTTTAATAACTGCTGACAAAGGGAGGCAACATTTTCTGACCCAGTTTTAGGGAATGATCTCTTAAAAGATTAGGTTTGCTTTATTTTGTGTAATCCTTTTGAGTCTGGGAAACCAAATATTTCATTATCTGGTCACTGTTTCCCACTACAGTATATTCTATAACACCATACTATTTGACTTTTAAGAATCATTTTATCTTCTAGTTGTTTTCACTTAGCTGAAGGCATATTTATTATGAGATCAAGCTGGTGTTACTACCAGTCATGACTTAATCTAAATTTAATGTCTGAAAAGTACCTCTTCTTATTCAACACGAAGGAGTTAAGTGGGAAAAGGAGTCTTATGATGTGAAACATCATGCTACCTTGCTGTGTCCCTAGGCCACAGTTCCCTTTGTCAAGCTGTGCAAAGGGAGAAATGTAGAAAATTTGTATATGGGACTTCTCCCTAGTTCAAAACTGAAAGCAGGATCTTTCCTAAAGCTCTTCTTGAAAGCAAGCAAAGGACAGTTAAGGTTTAATTTATTTTTAGTCTTTGTCTTGTAAACTTTACAGTTTATTTCCAAAATATTTATATATTTCTTCTTTTACATTTGGCCCTTCTCTGAATAGGAACATTTCTGGAAAACAAAAATAATTCCTCAAACTCCTCAGCTTCACATTATGCCAGCAATGATAACGCTGAATAAGGCAAAGCAGCTGGCATTAAACCTGTCCTGCCCGTACCAACTCTGCGCAGCATCACCAAAACGTTAAGATGTTGTTGATGACAAGACAGTGGTAAAGGAACTGTCATGCAGTAGGCCCAATTTAAGAAAGAAATGCAGCCAAGTGAAAAAGCCTCTGCCCAAGACATGAAACAAAGAGCTGTGTAGATGTAAACCCCATGGGTTTATATGGTACGTTTTCTCTGCGTGCAGTTGCAAGGCTGTACAAAGAGGAGCCTGCTGGACACGGAGGGCAGTGGGGAGGTGGTGTTTGGAGGCCGCAGGCTCCTGCTGGGACCTGCAGCGATGGGGTATGTCCCAACTTGGGGGCCTGCCAGCCTCTAATTTCCTTTTTCCTCTGGGCTCATTAATATTTATACAGGAAATTTCACCAGTTGCTACAGCAGGACCTCCCTCTCTGAGTATTGTCCTTTAAATAACACTGGCTGCTTTTCCTCAGCTTCACGCAGGGCCGTAGGCTACAGACCACATCGCAGTTCATGGGGCAGCGGGGGTACGCTGTGAGGGCCGTTAGGGAAACCTTTGTCCCCTTTGACAAGCTCTGAGGCTGCAAACACGGGTGGGAGGATCCCAAAGCAGCCGTGGCGCTGAGGGGCCTCTCAATGCCCTTCGTATCATGGAGGCCTGGTCTCCTGTGAGCCCCAGTCTCGGCGATGTCTGGCCTCCCCGGGACTGCTCCCGCGGCCGGGAGCAACACTGCCCACGGCTGTCGTGGATGCCTCGGGAAGGCGTCCGGGACACGAGGGGAAGGCGACACCGGCGCGGCGAGTCCCCGTGACTGCGAGGGCCGCGGGCCCGGCGGAGCCTGGGCAGGGCCCGGCGAGA